CCTCAGTTTTTTCAATCGTTTTAAACCTTCTAGTAAGCAAAATCAGATTTCTGTGTTATGTTATAACCAAACGGGGAAAAACAGAAGCAATACATGATTTTGTTGAAGTATTTATTGAAAGTGTACAAGTTCCATAAAGGTGAGGAAAACATTTTTTTGTAAAAAAATTCAATAAAATTTCTTGTTGACATATTGTACATCAATCATTAAAATAAAAACAATAGAAAAACAAATGCCCAAACACACCAGTGTGCACTGAGAAGAAATTTTTTTAAAAAATCTTACATATTCAAACATAATTGGCCTTTGCAATTATAGCACATAGCTGTAACACCTTTATCCTTAGTACTGGCTCTAGCAAGAAAACATGAACCTGGAAGGAAAATACACCCCATACTACTGGCAGTGAACTGCTGTAAAGAGGTTACTTATACAATATTTAGGTAGAACTAGAGTGGGAGGAAAGATACAACTTCATAAACATTTTATTGGCATTTGAAACCAGAACTCATAAAAACATTCCTGCTCACTAACTCATGTTTGAAAATTAGCTATTCATGTGTGTGAGAGAGACAGAGACAGGAAGTCACAGAGTAGTTTGATCTTTTTGATGTTTTTTGATATTCTACATATGACCTCAATTAGCCACAAGTGTAGTTGAATAGTTTTATGCTGAAGCATGTACTATAAAACATAAAAATCTTCAAACTTGCTGTCTAGTCAAGTGGTGCAGCTACCTTCATGTGAAAATCAATCACAAAACTTCTCTATAGGATCCAGTTTCAAATCACCAATAGCTTACATAAGCAGACAACCATTTCATCAGAAATAATGCTTTTTTCTATGATGACTAGCATTGGTGCAAACTGAAGTAAAAAAATGCAGCATCTTATGTTGTAAGCATTAAGCATATATGCAATTCGTTACAGGTAATCCCTGACTTATAACCATTCAATGGCCATTTGGTTAGAACAGCACTGAGAAAAGTGACTTATGACTGTTTTTCACACTTAATATTGTAGCGTCTCTATGGTCATGTGACTGGCATATATTTATGACCGCTGCAGTGTCCTGGGTCAAGTGAGAATTTTTTGTGAACCTCTGACAAGCAAAGTCAGTGGGAGGGGCAGATTCACTTAACAACTGTGTTACTAACTTAACTGCAGCAATTCACTTAACAACTGTGGCAAGAAAGCTCATCAAATGGGGCAAAACTTACCTTAAGTCTTGCTTAGCCATGGAAATTTTGGACTCAATTGTGGTCATAAGTTGAGGAATACCTGCATTGTTCTCCAAGGCCTTTGCAGGGCAGAACTTTGCTATCTGTATCATTTAAAGTACTCCCCTGCCTTAGTGCCAAACAAACCACCAAGGCAAAATTCAATGCTATCCTTAGACTTCTCATTATTAAGGTTTCTTCTTTTCCCTAAATGCACTCCAAAAACATGAACAGAATATTATTAGGGTGTACAAAGCAGTATCAAGGGATTTTTGTTCTCCATATAATTGTTTATTCTGTTGGTGATGGAAATAAACTATATACTACACTCCAGAGCAGGCCTATTTCAGGAATCTTTGCCACATGACCACTTCTGTTCAATTTTCATGTCAGCAAACAACTTCTATATTAAACAGGCCATTATTTTTCTGTCTTTTTCTTGATTTTCAACTCCAAAAACTTGCAATTCATGTAGTATACATTTTTAACTAACTTGCAAAGAGGCACAGTGATAAAGAAAGAACTATGTCTTTATTTATGTGTTGTTCATTGAATCTTATTTTGCCATTTGAAACCTGTCCTCAACTTTGGGTAATCTGTTTTGGTTTCTTTCGTTTTCCCAATTTTTCTTCTCCCCGTCTCTCAGTGTTGCTGCTTCTCTACACGTTGGGTGAAAATAAATATTGGCAGCTCTCGGACAAAAGAGGTCATGGGGCAAGGGTACATGAAAAACACCCCATTCCACTTTGGGGACTGCCTTTAGGAATAAGAGGAATTATCCTTTCTCATTTTTTCAAACAGATAGTAGGCCTCATGAACTATTAACCATGAATCATAAAAGGCAAAGAAACCATCTTCTTTCTCAAACCAACCCCTGGAAAATGCTTCTCAACAATCTCCCAAGTTCTTTAGCTGCATTTGGAAGAGAGAGAATGCTTCAAGCTCTCCAGGTGATTTGGAAGTACAATGCCTCTGACTGTGGAAAAGAGTCCTGACTTCTCTGCCTTGTTTTTACAAATTTCCTTGTACTTTATCATTCCTACCTCTCTTGAAATCATTAGCTTAAATGCTTGCATACCACAGAAGGGTAACTTACCACACAGACAGCTAATATGAGGTTTGAAGAAATATAAAAACTGCCATTTTAAACAAAAACTATAATTGCTATGAGCTAACATCTCATGGCTGCAAATCAATTGAGTCCTCTTACTGCATAAAAATGGAAATATTTTAATCAAGCCCTTGCTGGTTATGATATACAAATCCTTAATGTATTACAATCACAGGGGCTAAATAAATTCTGTTCTCTTAATAAAAGTCGAAGTGTCAGTTTTTTAAATGTGCATTTGAAGGCCAGCCTCAAATGTATTGAGAGTCATTTACTACTAACACATTGATGTTCTGGCATCAATGAGGACAGTAAAAATCATGTCTAAAAGATTTCAATATATTCAACTTGAACACACCTTACACAGATCCATGAAAACAAAGTGTTTAGGGTTCAAAGATCCACTATTTTTCATTATTCCTAATTGCAATTTGGCTCTTTAATATTTCCACAAATCCCCTGAAGGATTTGACACAATCTAAACTGCTCCTTAACATGAAACAACAGGAGTTGATATAAAGTGCAGATATTCTTTTGCATAAATATATCCAACACTCTTGTTTCATAAAGCTGGAGCATTAAACATTTTGAGAATGCACATATGTGTCTAGCAGTAAAAGAGGCTTCACATTGTTTGAGCAATGCTTTTTTTTGCAAGATACTGTTCTCTCACACAACCTACATCTGCTTTAAACTAAAATTAAAATACCTTTAAGTCAAGTAAGAAATACTTAGCTCTCCCATTATAAATGTTTCATACAGTAAATCTAGATGACCCACAAATTTAAGACTGTGGAATGGGTGTAAGACTATTTTGCTCTGCTAAAATATCTGAATACAGAATAAAACAGAAATAAAAATAAAGCAATACAATATAGGATCAAAATACAACAGCAATCAAATAATACTTTAAAAAGACTTCCACAAGGATAGTGTTGTCTATCCAGCCCCTTCATGCATTTGCTTGGACCGGTGGAGAGAAAACAGATCTGGGCATATAATGTCATCTCTATTCTCACAAACCTCCATATGTTCAGAAAAAAAGTTGAAGAGCTCTATTCTGGTACATTCATGTACCATAAAAGCAAATACTGCTCCTCACTTGCTTTAGGAATGGACTACAGCAGAATGCAGAATCACATTAACAACATACGTGATCTTGCATGCAAGTCCAGCTATCTTTCAGAGCCTCTACTGGTATGTCAGGCTGGAGAAAGTTGGCGGAGGAGGGGGCTCTATAAGTGCAGTCTCCTCTCTCCCCTCCATGCATTCAGGAAATACCAGAACAGGGCTTCTGTGGCAGCAAATGCAAAGAAGTGTTTTGGTACCTTAAAAACGAACAGCTCTATTATAGCATTAGCGTTTCTGCATCAGAACCTATGCTGTTAAGTGGACAAAGCAACCATCTACCTGGGTAAGTCAAAATGCAAGTTTTTATTCAGTTGATTATTTTTAACAAGAACCAAGAGGCCAAACAATGTAGGAGTAATTATTTAAAATATTGTATTACTAATGCAGCAAAACAAATGGAAGATCCACTTGAGGTGGATGTGGTCCATTTCCAACTAACATTGCATCAAAAACATGCTGATGCTGCTATGTCTGTTTATCTGCCAGTCTGGAATGGGTTACACTGCTATGATACTTTTGTTTACTTAAAGATACCAGAATATATTGCTTTCTAAATGTAACTTCTTTCTAACTATTCCCCCAACTGCTCTATCTTGTGCCATTTAATCAGCTTGGTAAATACACTTTTCTATCCATTATTAGCTCAGACCCTTTCACAAGCAAACGTAACAACAGAAATTTCTTATCTTCAATTCTTCCATAAGTATAGTTTATTTTTAAAAAAAAGCACTAAAAATGAAATGGGCCACATCAATGAAAGCATAAAAAGATTCTTAGCTTAACACCCTAACAATATTGCTACTCCAAAAGGAGACACGTCCATTGAAATAAATTGCTTCAACAATATCATGCCCGACAAACTATTACCCTCAACAGACCCACAAAACAGTACTTTGACAAGCAAAAACCACCATGCATGCATGGCCCTTTTAAGATCATATATGACTACAGGGTTTATATAGTATAGTGGCAAGACATGATAGAATCAGGTATATATGCCAAAGGCAATTCAAGATTTTTGACAGTAACATAAAAAACTAAGTTGTCCCAAGAGGCACCGTTGTGATAGTTAGTTGGCGTTCTGGGGAAAAAAGGATGGAAACATGTCCTGAAATACAACATTAGAAATATGACATGATTAGCTGAAGTGCACTAAAATGCTATTTTCAGACAAGAAATTCCACACATGTGCTTTCCCCCCCCTTCCCCTGCCCTTCAGCATGTGACAATATTGCTTTTCTTCTTTGTCTGAATGATGTTACACTAATCTGGGAAAAGGAGCAAAATCAGCTGGTCTTATGACAGAATACTGAAAAAGTTTCAATCCATTGGTCCCAGTGAAAAAGATGTAGCAAGAAAAGTGCAATTATCCTGATGAAATTTCAAAAAAATAATAATGCACATTTGTAAATACTATCTTCATATGAATTAATGATTTCCTTTTTTTTTTCTCCTGAAAACAGATATTCTGCTAAGAAAAGTTGGGATGTCTTTTTCATTGTTCAAACTCAAAAGTTTACACTGAAACGTAAAGTATCTGGGAAAAAAAAAATGGTCCCTCCAGTTGTGAGGAGTTGTGGAGATCTCCCTTCTTTATGGTACCAAAGCAGCATGCTCAGAGTCTGCACCTGAACCATCCCAAGACAAATGCAGTTGGCTCTCGGCTGCTCCTTTTTTTCCTAGATCTCACAGGAGGCTGGCATTCATGGCAGGGTGTATATGATACTACCTATGACCTGTTTATGGAACGGTCGTCTGTTGTGATGTAAAGAGATGTCATCTGGAAAGTTTAATCACAGTTGTTTCCATAACCGCCCCCCCTCCCCCCAAATAGCCACGCGGAGCTTATCCTTCAGTTTCTTCGCTATGTCCTGACTGCTGGAGCACAGACATCTGTGATATTATTTTGCTCGTTCCACGAGAGAGCCGCTCCTGGTCTGTGTTTGCAGAAAGGGAGGCCATGGAAAGAGGTTGCAGCAGCGTGGGGGTCATACCAGTCGTGACGGTCAGATTATGAGTAGCACCTTTGAGTGTAAGATCTTGTGTGGGAAGAAGGGGCTTGAGAATGCTGACAAGGCAGAAGGCAGAGCCACTTTTAGGAATAAAGTTAACTTTATTCTTGTCAGGACAATAAAAGGCTGGAATTTCATGCAAAGGTTTTGGCCTACAAACAGAAAAACAACACCACAGGGTGTTAACATTTGGAAGTTAAAGATTAGCAAAGTTAAAGGCTGCAAGGAATTACCTAAAGTTTACGGTACGCTGTATAACATAGCATGAAACGCTTTTCTCTTTTTGTCCCAACTAAATGAGAGTTGTCCACAAATAGGGGGGAGGGAAATACTACCACATACAGTAGCAATTTTATCTCCAAGTTTATTTATAAAGCAGTCAAAACATGTTGGCACACCTATTATACAATAGGTAGTCCTCCATTTACTACCACAACTGGGACTAGAATTTTTGCTGCTAAGTGATGCAATTGTGCAGTGCAAAGTCACAGCATCTCAGGAAGCCCCAATAGCGTGACACAAAGCCTCAGCATTCTGGGAAGCCCCAAAAGCCCCGCTGCCCAAGCCCAATTACCCTTGCCACCCTGCCTTTCGAAGCCCCTGCCGCCCTGTCCGCCACCTCCCAGCTAACCTTTGCTATCTTCTTGCTCCTGCTGCTGACAACGCATGCCTGCCCTGGCTTTTTACAAGGCAGCTACTGGCTATGTCAGGCATCTTCCCCAGGTCTCATGAGGAAACTGCTGTGCATGATGACCTTGGGAAGAAAGCCTTGTGCAGCCCAGCAGCTGCCTTGTGAAGGGCCAGGCCAAGTATGGCTCTTCAGCAGCAGGAGCAAGATGGCAAAGATCAGTTAGGCTGATAGGGGCTGAAGAACGTAGGAGCCCAAAAAGGCACAGATGAGAGGGAGATAGGTGAGGAATGAGTTGAAGCACCACTGCAGTCATAAATGTGGGAAGGCTGATCAAATTTTGATCACACAACCATGGGAATGCTGCAATGGTTCTACTTCAAGGACCAGTTGTAATGGTTGCTGAATGAATTGTCATTAAGTTGAGGACTACTTTTATCTAAGGACCAGTCTCTTTTTCCTCTCTAACCCTAAAGAAGCCAAAGTTGGCTACTCTTGATTCTTATCATATCTGGAAGCATCAGATATTTTATTCTTAGTTGTCATCTTTGTATTGGGCCACAGCCTCCCAAAGTGCACACAGAAAGCTCTGCATTGATACTTTAAATCCAATGGGGTATGGTTCCTTGACAGCTTTCAGGTGTGTGGATTTAAAAATCCCAGAAATCAATAGGCCATTGATGAGAATTCTGGGGGCTGATGTACACATACTTGGAAGTTGCCAAAATGGGAAACATTGCTTTAGGTTTTCAGCAGATCTCAAAAAAGGGGAAACATTCAAAAGACATTTTGTCAATACATTCCTGCAAAATGCATATGAAGGGGGAATGATCCCTGTTTTCTCTCAAGTGGTCTAGGAACTGCTTTAAATAATTATAACCCTCCCCCAAAACAAACACAAAGCTACATGTATAGATATGTCCTCCTTTACCCCCAAAAGTAAGAAACATTAAGCATAAGGCTATACCATCAAGTTTAGAAACCAGGCGCCTAGTGAAATATTATGATTCAAAAAATTATGAAGATCAATAGCAACTTACAAGCTTTCCTCAAAAACTTTGACTTTCTCACAGCCTTCAGGAGGTTCACGCTTGAACATATAGCTGTTGTTGGGCTTTGGTGATGTAGCATATTTGGGCAGAGGAGAATTGTTTCCATTCTCTGTAGTGAGCAAAGTGCCAGTTATATATACACACACATCTATATATTGCAACATGCATATGAGATTATTTTTGCATTTCTCATACTCCTTGATTAACAATGTTAAAAGGCAAACAAAAGCCTGATCACCTGGCATAAAGCAGTTTCTTACTGTCTGCATGGTTTTTGCTATACAAAGATAAGCTATCTGGTACTCTCCAGATGTTTTGGATGATCACTTACATAATTCTTGATCATTAGTCAAGTTTGGACTGCTGAAAAGCACAGACCTACCGGCTGACCCACGTAAGCATTTTGCTCATCAACATGTAACAGCTGAACTAATACCTCTGGCAGCATTTAACCCTACAGCTAAAACAAAGGCATAGCTATCCAGGTGGCAGACATTGATTCATTTGCTTTAAAAATGTGATTTAATTTACAATTTTCTATGACCCCTCCATCTCCCTTCTTCACCTTCTTGAGTCTACTCAGATATGTATATGCATGTTAAGTAAAAACAAATCAAAACAATCAACTCCTTATATGAATTATTTTTAAACATTTATATACCTCCATTAAGTACAAAGAAAGAAAATATAAAATTAAACTGGTAGGCAACAGAGGAACGATTACCCAAAAAACCCAGCTAAAATAATACAACTTTTCCCACTTGTAATAATGAAGAAGAAACTATTCCCCCATTTCTCTCCCCCCCCCCATGAAAAAAGTAGTTCTATTAGCCCACAAGATCCTGTGCTTAAAACTTTCATACAGCACAGGAAACTGGAAACATTTTAAAAAGTGATTTATGATATGACTCAAAGTTGAGCTTCCCTTTGGCAGGTGATAAATACCTTGCCTGCACTGACAAAAGAATCTGTGAATTTTGGCCTGTAACTCAAATACCCAGGAAACAAACAAGGTTTCTTAATTGAAGGGTTAGTCCCTAGAGCTTCCCCTCTAAGGAAAGCATTGGAACATTTTTCAGGAAATACCTTTATCTCTGGGGTCCATAAGCAGGTCATCTGCAGAGCAAGGGCTCTCCTCACTGCCCTCATTGGAGATAGCCAGGAAGGAGCTAGGGGAAATAGACTGAGATCGGCTGCTGTTGTTACTGCCTTTCTCTGCTCCACCCGGAGTCTGTGTGTCAATGCTGCGAGTACTGCTGCTACGCTGCACTAAAGGAGGTGGCGCTCGATGCCCATCTGGAATATCTTGTGGCTGTCGAACAAAAACATATTACATACTTCTTACACACCACACACTATTAATCTTGTCTGGTGACTTTAATAAAATGAAAAATAAAGACGATTTTATTGCTTTGCCAATAATAAAAGCTCTTCAACTGAAAATCAGTTATTCTTCAGGTTCCCCCCCCCCCCAAAAAAGGAAACTCAACTAAATATAAGAAGGATTGGGAGTCTCATAAAGAAGCCCTTCAGAGCTCCAATTCATGCACATATGCAACCACTGTTCCTCATGTTCCACAAGAAAACAAGGCTCAATGTAAGTGTGTTAACTAGAAATAAAGGCCTAAGTCTGGTTTAAGATTCTGTTATTAGTGACATTAATACAGTTCCCAAGTTTAGACAAGAAGAACTATGATTTCAGAGAAATCCAGATTAAAGGGTAAAGCTAACATGAAGCAGGGGTAGTGATAAGAAACTGGTATGTAGGCATGATGTTTATTCCTGGCTTTGTCTATGGATGCTGAATGTCATTAATTCTAAATATTATATTTTCCCCATACAGGTCTTGATGTAACAGTTCTCTTTCATACTCCATATGTTCATGTATACCAAGATATGCTTATATATAGGCACGGCGGACTCAGCTCTCCTTATCTGAAGGCCTGTTTGATTACAAATATACTCACAATAAGTTGTTCTTCTTTCTCTCCAGTCTCTTTTATGATTATTTCAATCTCCTGATTCAGCCCTTCTATGCTATTACGGAAACGGGATCCACTTGACTTAGCTATTGGTATCACAGGAACCAGCATGCTCTTTGGGACTGGAGCCTGAAAACCCAACAGAGGTAAAAGAAAATCAGGGTTACATCATATAATTTAGAAAAGAAAATCAAATTATCTATAAGATTTTATTATAATAACAAAACGCATCTGGTTTATTTGGAGAATTTTAGATGATATGTATAATTTTATTATTGTACATTTTTGTATTTATAATCTTTGTTCCTTGAATTCTGTGTAGAAATGTGGATACATAAAAGTATCCGTACTACATTCAATTGATTTCTTGTATTCAAGCTACCGTTCTGGTACAGATGCCCAGCAGGAAGGACCCAACAATGAAAATATTAATTTTTAAAATGGGTGCTCAGTTGTTTTCAGAATCAAAACTAGAAATATGAAGAGAAAGTGAAAATACCTCTCAGGTTAGTGCTTCAAAAAGTTTTGGAACAGATAAACAGCAAACATAACAGTCAATTTAGTTCAAAAATTTCAGTTTAACTTCAATTTAGTTTCAGTTTCATGAAATAAAAATACTCAATGAAAATGTTCTGCTTCTCCATCAGCACTTTCATAGCATCTACAGTTTCAGTTCTTTTGTTATGGAGATGCAAGATACACAATATCATAATATGCATTATGAAGAATTAATGTGCAATTTTAGCCTGGAGTATAGAGTTTGGTTTGGGAATTTCAACCCAAGTTTATATATTTCTGTCAAAGGTGTACGTATCTGCTGGAGGCTCAAAAGAAGCATCGATCTGAGTGAAGCAACCAGTTGTCAAGACTTAAAACATAATTGTTCTACTTCTTTTACTTACTTTGTTAATACACCATCTATCAAGAAATGATAGCCTGGATAGAATTCAACTATTAACTCTTTTCCAAACTATAAAATACAGTGGGGTCCTTGGTGCTCTCTGAGCTTGGCTGTCACAATGAGAAGTCAAAGCCAAGAAAGACAAAAATCTCAGGAAAAAAATTAACAAAGCTTCAGGGAGCAGTTGGAAGAAGCACTATTACAATTGCAAATGTAGAGACTTTGAAGATGGAAACAGACCTGTAAAAAGAACTTCCAAAAGATCTCTAAATTCAGGAGGTTCCAATGATAGTGGAGAGATAGTAACTGATTCAAAGAATTTTTTTTTAAAAGATGGAAGGAATATACAGAAATAATCTATATACATAAAAATGTAAATGTTCGTTTGTTCAAAATCTTAAATCTCCGAAAGTTCTTCACCGATTGCTTTGAAATTTTGACACAACGTTGCATTCGAATACGCGCGTGTTTTTATATACCTATAGATGTAGATGTCACACCTGTGACAGGTAAAAACATGTTTTTGAAAAACAGCACCATCTGTTGGACGTAAAAGCAACAAGCTACGATTTTACCATTCCATTTCAATGTTTCCGATTTACGATCCATTTACGATTTCCAAATTTCCAATTTTACGATTCCATTTCAATGTTTCCGATTGCATTGTTAAATTGAATTTTCATAGATTTCGATTTATTTTCATTTTGATTTAATTATTTCGTGTGACATTGCATTGGAATTGATGCACAGACAATGGAACAACAAAAAATATTGTATACCCACAAGCATTGTGAAATCAAACATATTAGAAACGTGCGCTTTCTCTTTTCTTTCTTTTCCATTTAACCAGACTGAGCCACAGCAACGCGTGGCCGGGTACAGCTAGTGTACAATAGATATGTTAACATCCCAGATACTTTAGAAGCTATTTCCTACTTACAAGTATGTCTAGTATTAGTACATGAAGCTACATCAGCATTCCAGTCCTTACCAAGTCAGAGGGCTAGAGAAACTGATGGAATACTCACAGAAATATGACAAGCAACTGAAGAAGAATCAATGAAAGTTTTAACTAAGCTATGCCAGCAACTCGGAGAACAACATGATGGCCAACAAAGTGGAAAAAGTCAATCTACATTCCAGTATTAAAAAGGAGACTTAACAGAGTGTGTAAACTATTGTACAATATCCTTTATTTCACACACTAGCAAAATCATCTTTCAACACAGATTCGAGTCCCACATGGAAAAGGAAATGCCAGTTGTTCAAGCAGGCTTTTGAAAAGGCCCAGGACCAAGAGACATTATTGCTGAAATATGCTAGATAATTGAGAAGCCCGAGAATATAAAAAGATGTCATTGTGTGTTTTTATTGATTATAGAAAGCGCTTTGAATGTGCTGATCATGTTAAGCTATGGAAGGCACTTAGAAAAATCAGTATCCCAGAACATCTCATTGTCTTATGTGAAAAACCTATATAGGTAGTCCTCAACTTATGAGTACTTGTTTAACATTCGTTCAAAGATATGAGGATGCTGAAAAAGTGACTTGCAACCAGTCCTTGTACTAACAGTAATCACAGCATCAAAACTGAGGCACTTGGCATGCAGTTACAATGGTTGCAGCATCCTGGAGTAACATAAGCATTATTTGCAATCATTTCAGAGAACCAACAACAAGCAAAATCTATGGGGGAAGCTGGATTTGCTTAATGACCATGTGATATTTTTTAACAATTGTGGTGGCTTGCTTAATGACCATGGCAAAAAATGTCATAAAATTGAACACTTAACGATGACACTGCTTAATGACAGTTTTGATCCCAACTATGATTGTAAATTGAAAACTACCTGTATACAAAACAGGAAACTACAGTATAACATAGATAGAGCATGGGGAAACAGGCTGGGTTGGCCAAGGAGGAAGTCAAAATTGTACAGTATCTTCTTCTTTATTCAAATTATGTGCTGGATATATATTAATGGAAACTGGATCAAAAGAAGATGAGTATGAATGTAAAAGTGGAGGGGAAAACATCAATAAGCATTATGCTTATGATACTACTCTCATAGCTGAAATGCATAGGATTTGCAAGATCTGATAATAAAAGTCCTCAATGAACAGGGAAAAAATGGGAGCCAAATATAAAGAAAACCAAACTAATGACAACAGCCACAGAACTGACAATGAATATATCAAAACGGTAAACAGCTTTTGCTTTTTAGGATCAACCATCAACAATAAAAGGAAAAAAACAATCCAAAAAATATACTCAGATTTGGTAAAGAGTCCTGAAAATTTTAGAAAAGATATTACATTTAATTTGCAGTACAGACAAGATGGTACCTTATAGTTGTCACAGTTGCCAAAGATTTAGTTCTTCCAGTGCTACTCACTGTGATACATCTTGTAAGTAACAAATGGCACCACTGTAAAATAGCACTCTTTATTCCCAAATCACAAAAGTAATTCAGCAGATACTTTGGTTAAATGGCAGCAAGAGCAACCAACCAATGAAGATCATTCATTCATTCATGCAACCAAGACTCCATTTTCTTTAAGAGTACCCAGAACTAGACTTCAACCACTCTCAAGTAAAATATTTTGGACGGGCTGTGTAACTATTTTCAAGTTATTCAAATAAACTGAAGTGGAAACAATATTCACTAGTATGGTCTCTTCCTCCTGCAGCGCTAGCAGCTTTCAGACATTCTTTTTGGCAAGTCAGTGCCTGAAATATATTGAACTTCCTTGGCAACAACTTTTAGAAACCTTACATCTAGAGCTCATCTTACCTGGCACTGGTTTATAGCTGCATGATTACCATGGAATGGAGACTGTCTTTCTTTATCACGGTGGTGTCTGCTGCTGTGTTTACTTCTTTGCAATTGCTGGCGTAACTTGGCAATCTGAAAGGACAAATGTTTTGTTATTTCTTTTTTAATCTACAACAAAAATGTTGAGTTTTGGAATCAAACCTCACCATAAGGGCTCCTGCTAACATTACTGTATCAGATGCTTAGACAGAATAACATTCTCACTTGTTACCAATAAAGAAGAAAAGAGAATTTTAAAAAATGAAAATAATAAACAACATCACAGAGTTTTTTAATTTTGTTTTCAAAAAGTATTTTAAAAGATCAACAAAGAAAACAATTGCTCAAATGCTGAGCAGCCACTGTGCCTCTAGCATTTCTGGATCAGACAATGCCCCAAAGAGGGAACTATATTAATGAAACCTGGGGAACACCAACACAAGCACACCTGCCTCAGTCTGAGAAACCAGACGACAGATCCGATTCAAAAACATCCCCAAACTGTGAACATAGTCCTTCTGGGATATGCAAAACCATGTAGAAAATAGGACTTTCAGTTTTGTGGAATTTCTTACTGACTTGGACCCAAATTATATTCCAATGGTAGCAGCCTACTCTGCGTGAAGCTCTGATACTATTGATGATTTGGGAGGATGATTTTTCCCGATTACCCCTTTGTTCATCATTTCTTTTGAGCTGGAAGGCTGCAGGGAAAAGTAATCACTGGCTTCAGTTTTATGAATAGGATTCACCCTACTGAAGCAATTCCTTTTCAATGGAAATTCAAATTTTATAATGCAGAAAGAGAATGTTTCTCATTGTTCTAAACTGTGAAATCGTTGGCATGTATAATTATTATACTAAGCTATTATCAAGATGGTAGAAAAACAGCATGTTTCTTCACCTCTTTGAGTTGGTCTGTGCTGCCCCAAGACGCCGAGCGCTTATGAGATCCCTTTTTCTTTTCCAAGTATTCTTCAGCCCAAGCACTCTCAGTCTTAAGAAAAAAGACAAAGGCAGTAGATTTAGGCTTATGATATTAAAATCAATTTTCTAAAGTTATTGATTAGGATTTATTCTGCAATGTCCCTCAGTATTCATAGAAAGCCAGTTTGGAGTAGTGGTTACGGCAGGGGTGCCAAACTTGATTTCATTGAGGGCCGCATCAGCATGAAGTGCCCTCAGAGGGTGGATGTGGCTGTGGTGGTCACGGCTGACTGGGTGGGTGTGGCCTGGGTGGGTGTGACCATCCTGATATTGCTCATGGGGAGGGACACCTGTGGGGGCCAGGCAGGCTTGGGGGAGATCCAGGGGGTCTCTGGCAGGTGGGGTGATGGGCAGGAGGCTTGTCCTGTGGGATGAGGCGAGGTGAGGCACGGGGCAGGGTGGGGGTGCCGTTGCCTGGGGCAAAGTAAGGCGGGGCAGGGGTTAGGGCCGCTGCTGCTTGACACCATCGGCCCCCGCACACAGAGGCCAGTGAGCACATGGGGGGCAATAGTGTCCGTCAGCAACCACAGCCTGCTGGCCCCTCAACCGGTGCACTCTGGGGCTCCACAGCCTGCTGCGAATACTGGGCCAGCCCTCCAGCAGCAGGCAGAGTAGGGGAGGGGGAGAGGCACATGCTACAGACCGCCGGATGCACCTACTATGTCCCCTCTGTTTTTGCTTGCGGTTGGAAGCAGGTGGCTGCTGGTCATCTCAGCCACCTTGCAGATCTTGACCGCATGTGGAGCCTGTTCCCCTCGCTCACCCAACGCACCTTGGCCCCACCTCGGGCCGCTGCCGCCAGCAGCTCATGCAGGTCCATTAAGCTATCACTGCCGCCCGGAGCAGCAGGCCCGCCCAGCACAAAGGAAGCAAAGCAGCCAGCTAGGAAGCTCGAGTAGAGGTGATAGAGCACTGCCATGCCCAGCAAGCAAAAGGTCACCCCGAGTGGGGAAAGCCGGATCTCCATCAGTGCCATGGCCGCCCAGTCCCAGCCACGATTGCTGGGTCTGGGTGGCCATGATGCCGATGGAGATCCGGCTTTCCACACTCGGGATGGCCTTTTGCCTGCTGGCCCTGGGCGTGCTCTACCACCTCTACTCAGGACTTCCTAGCCGACCACTTCACCTCCTTCATGCTGGGTGGGCCTGCAGCTCTGGGCGACGGCCTAATTGATCTGCATGAGCAGTTGGTGGCCACGGCTGCGGCAGGTGGAAAGCACTCCACCCGCGGGCCAAGGGCAAGACCCATGAGGGGCTGAGATGACCAGTGGCGACTTGCTCTCCAACCAAAAAGAGATGGGACTGAGTAGGCGTGTCCGGCGGTGTGCATCACATGCCTCGATTCCGCATGCTGCCAGTGCTGCTGCAACGCTGCTGCTGGAGGCCCACCCAGTATTCACAGCAGGCTACGTAGCCCCTGCTGCCAGATGCCGTCAGCCTCCGCGCACTCAGTCTCCTGTGCATGCGCCTTGGGGGCCACCAGACTGGGCAGGGCTGGGTCCAAGACAGCGGGGGCCAGTCCCTCGCTATCTCCAGGGCATTCCCGCGGGCCAAATATCAGCCAATCGTGGGCTGCATCCAGCCCACGGGCCTTGTTTTTGACATGTCTGAGTTACGGCATCAGGCTAAAAAATGGGAGACTGTGAGTTCTAGTCCTGTCTCAGGCATAAATCCAGCTAAGTGACCTTGGACTGGTCACTCACTTTCAAACCTGGGAAGGCAAAGGCAAGCCACTTTCAAAAATTTGCCAAGCAAACTGCAGGGACTAGTCCATGCAATCACCAGGAGTCAACACTAACTTGAAAGCATGCATACATAGAAACGAAAAAGGCATTTAAAAAATCTGAAAAAATTATCTATTTTATAGTTCATATACATATTCATAGGATAACTATTCATCTGATAATCACATCATCCATACTTAATTAATTTGGTCATCAGAGTATTATGGATTACTTTGCCAAATGTTTTGTTGAAGATGTATTTCACCATATCCTTACTAAGTAAGTAACCAGTTTTTTTTAAAAAAATAAACAAGATAAATTTAATCTAGTAAGAACCTGTTTTTGACAAATGCATCTTCTAACAATCATGCATTTTTTCAAGATATGTACAAACTGATCTTCATGATCTATTCTAGAATCTTCTCCAGCACTGGTGTCAGACTGACTGATCTATAGTTCTCTGGGTTCTCCATGCTTTCTTTTGTATTGCTATTATCAATAGATCCCTTCATTCACCAAAATTTCTAAATATGTACAAAAGTTCCAGTATATACAAAGACAATCAGCAAATTTTCCCCACAATTTAGCATGTTATTTCTGCCCAGGGACAGTAAATGAAGTCAAGAAATAAATATAATATATATAATTTTAATATATATAAAACCAATTGTTCATTACTAAATTCATGATACTCTTCATAAACACAGTCTAACTTATTAAAGTTATGAAAACCATCTATTGTATTAATACACATATATTGCCTAATTTGCTTATCACTATTTTAATTAGAACAGTTTTATAGTTTTTATCTTTAAAATAACATGTAATTTTAATATTTGCATTTAGATTTTGCATATTCATAACTGCATTTCCTTTTCATCTATATTCCTTTTTTTTAAAAATCACAACAGAATGTATATTTTATAATATGCATGATTAAATCAAAGAAGCATTTATTTAATAAAGATTTATCTATAAAGCTTCAAAAACAAATCTTTTCTTTCTTTTGCATAATATATGGAAGCTGTCTTACCTGTGTGGCTTTATCCCTCATACAAGGTGTGACTTGCCCATGATTATCACGAGGCCATTGCCCAGCAAGATATGGAGCAGCAAGTATGTCTAGTGAAGGGGTACGACGGGAAATACTAGAAGGGCTTGATGATGGTGGCCGTGGTTTATCTACTTGGAGACACACATATGACTCCATCAGCAAAAATAATAAACATTACAGATTTCATTAAATTCATTATATTTTTGTTACTTTGTAAATAATAAATGCCTTTACAGTATATTAGCATATATTTTTCTTTACAATTTTTCAGGTATCCTATGCTAAAACAACATAGTCATAGATTACTAAAATGTAGACTATACACAAATGCATGAAGTGCACAATGGACAATAGGGAGTACACATCTGAGTCCAGAACTACCATTAATCTAGCATGAGGTGGCCTTGGGCAGCTGCCAAGGCCACAGCAAACTAGCAGAACTCATCCCTAATGCTTACAAATCCTTTATTTTTTCCTAGTTCAGTACTCCCAATATATTAAGTAAATAAAGATGTCTTTTCAATTTTCTACAATAATCCTAATGTAAGTCTTCAAGAGGCATTATGGGAAATTAATTCACTGCCTAATGTTGTCTATTTATTAGAGGCATGTCAAACTGCCCGCCTGTAGGCTGGATGCGTCACACCGAAACCGCACCCACCCCATTGCCGGCAATGGGGGGGAAATCGCGATACGTCACACGGTGTCATGAGTTTGACATTCCTGGTCTATTAGCTTAGAAAACTTCCAAAGACACTTTTCCTAAAAATTACTCAAACCTGGAATTGTCCCTTGTTGACTTTATTTTTATTTTTTTTAACATATATAGTTCCATGCATTTTTGAGCACCAAGCCAAATTTAGTAAGCATTTGCTAAAATGTATACGTATATAAATTACTAGGAAATAATAATTTAGAGAACATAACTATAGCAACAATCAGGAGGGGGAAACACTTTTACAGTAATGCAATTTAAAATTATTCTTGTTAGTGTCAAATAGCATTTCAATTTATACTAGACAAGGTGTTACCCATTGGGTCATCCTTTCAGAGATATTTTCATACCTAAACAGAAACAGAATGATCGCCTATTCTTTTGGTTTTAAAATTAAAGAAGAAAACATTTTATTAAAGAAGGATGCATAGTAGGCAAATATAGATGCTTTTCATTTAATAAAGGATGCTTTTGATGAAAGATTTGTGGCTGATCTGCCATTCTTTAAGAATACTATAATGTTTTCACTTCTTTTTCCTTGGCTTAAAGCAGTATACAGCTGACCAAGCTGAAATACCAGTTTCTCCAGATAAATCAGCACATTTTCCATTGTCCTTAGGCTTTATATATACTGAAAGCAAAGCATGGCTATACTGGGAACTGGGTCCACTAAAGAGTGATATCTTCACCTGATAAATTGAGCGAAATTCTTGGAATAATGACATTTTTGAACACACTACAAGGAATTCTTGGGGAGTTCTTCCAAGATCTTCCACATTCCATTACAAAGCCTTGGAAGATTGAAGTTCCTCATTAAAATGATGGGAGATTCTATCTTCAATTCCAGTTTATGTTGTGAAAATCCGGAGTTCAAATGTATCAAGAAATTTTGCTGGAGAATGAGCGGAGTTTGTTTTTTCACTGACAGCATTTAAAGAACAATATTTTTCATCATTCCAGGAAAGTGTTTAAGGCACGTGAAATTTATTTTTCTCATCATTTCATTTAAGGCAGGGGTGTCAAACTGCTAGTCCACAGGCTGGACGCATCACGTGGAAGCCGCGCCCACCCCATTGCCGGCAATGGCAAAACCAGCCCGATACGTTGCGCGACGTCACATGACGTCGCAAGTTTGACATTTGATTTAAGGGAATTAAGATATTTGAGAACAATTCTGCAGGATTGTTGAATGTCGGGTAGATGAAATTTGCACAGTCTAGTTTACACTTCTATTTCATCTTCATTTTTCTGAATTTTGTCTTCAGTAATATTCAATAAGAATTCAGAATATCTTTCTTCTCTTTCACCCAACCTTATGTTGCATTTTAACTGAAACTTCACAAAACTTCTCTATAAGTATGATTTTTTGATGCATGAATAATTCACATTAACATCATTTCCTCTTTTCACAACTAGTAGAAGCTTGTAGAAGTCACCACAGCAAATGGTTAAAATTCCTCCAAAGAACTCATTCTTGCCACATATAACTTAACAAGTACAGCTTTAAAACCCTCCCTCCTAATCATTGGGTTCTCATCCCAGAAAATAAGCATGATGAAGCAAATCTGCAGTACTGGAGGGGTTTTTCTTCAATATTTACAAAGAGTATTTAATTCACTGAGGGATATGTTGATTCTTAAATACACTGTCCCAGACCAGGTATCAAAATTGATGCAATACCAGATGATGCTACAGCAAGAGTAACATCTCCATCTCCCCTAGCTTTAGCAAGGATCAAATTGGTGACTAATGTATTTTCCTTTACCCTTGGTGCATCAATGAAAATTATTGAAAAAAGATTGCTTTGCAAGTAGTTACACGCACAGTTGCTCAATGTTCAATAGGGGCTCATTGTGTAGTACAAATTCCTGCTGTCTGTTGTATTGCACTTCACTTCAATAAGACAGATTACCAAATTTGGATTAATTGTATCATTTGTTGGTTTTAGCAAATTATAATCTTCAGGAGTTTTTTCAAATTTCACAAGTTTGTCTTAGAAATACAGAAGAACATGTTTACAATGCCTCTCACTGATCATGATATTAGGATCACTGATAGTTCTCTTGATTTGTAGGAAATCTTCAGACTTCTTGAACCGGTTCCACAATTGTCATGGGATTGATGATTTCAATGTTTCTTAACAAGACAACAAACAAATTTCTCATTGCTCTGGGGATTCTTTTTATTTTGGCATCTTCCATGGTTTGCTGCAGATGATCATCAACTTGCAACAAAATCCTTTCTCTTTCCAGACATCTTTGAATAATGGAAGGATGTGTCCATTTGGGTACCTCTTACTGCATGTACCATTTTCCCAACACGCTGATTTTTTTTTTGCTGCAATATGGATCCTTGGATCATGTGCTTCAATACCAATTTATGCAGATTTTGATCTGGTATTTCGGTTTGCACCATAAAACTGAAAAAAACTGATATACAGAGACCTGATCTAGACATATACAGCAAGACAATTAGTATTTCTCCATTTCATCCAGTTTCTTCTGAAACTGAAATTTGTACTGGGTTTGTAAAATAAATCCTTGCTTTAACAAACATACTGTATGTTTTTGAGACTTCCAATTGTTATATGCTTTTGTGTATGTATTGAATCCCATCTGCTATTTTGCACATACACAAAAACACACAAGTGTAAAATTTGGATCATAAAGGATAAAGAAAGGTATGATAAAAATCAGAATCAGTAAAGCAATAGTTTTTCCTGTGAAAGGTGGAAAATGAGAAAGAATGAGAGAGAAAAAGATAGTATGGACCCATAATTCAGAGTTATGGGTCACATTAGCCATTAAAGGGAAGGTATATATAGAAGGTCAACTTAGAAACATAAAAGCATAGCAGAAATTTATTGTGTGGTTTCATATTACGGACACACAACTTGTCACATAATACTTCAGACAACTGTAACTAAACTGATAATTTCTCATTATTTTATAACCTTGAGGCTTCTTTGCTCAATTTATTACATAGTATACAGAAATATTTTACCCTTCTGTACCAGTAGTTGTCCATCTTGACTGATTCTTAATTCCAGATACAAAGATGTATTAATTAAGCAAATGCCAAAATATATGAGCAGTTTCAAGACTGCAAATATCAAGCTCTATTTAATTAGGGCTACCAGATCTGAACTGCAAAACTCCAAATAGCCTTTAAAACAGGAGTCCCCAACCCCCGGTCAGTGGACGAGTACTGGGCCGTGACATGCCAGCAACCGGTCCGCACAAATAAGCAAAGACCCATCCGCGGGATGAAGGCAGCACACAAAACCATGCCCCCTCCGGTCCACGGAAAAACCTCTCTCCACAGAACTGGTCCCTGGTGCCCAAACGGTTGGAGACCTCTGCTTTAGAAGGCAACAATTTCTTTGCTTTTTTAACGGGGAGGGGGGTATCTGGATTTTTGCTACCTAGATATGGTAGTCCTACACTTAATTCTACCAACAAAGTATTTTAAAACTTTTTTTCTGAATCCATTTTCTTTCATATAATTTCCTGGGTTGTCTGAAAACATTTCATAAAATACAGTCTATCCCCATGTAGTATTTTCATTATCATTTCACCTTAGTTCTGCTATTCATACCCTCCCCCACAACTGCCCAGCTGCTAGCTTCACACGATGTGACCTACATAACAAGAGATATTCTTGCTTCAAGATAGCAGTTACAACAGCTGGGCTGATGAGAACAGTAGTGGCATTTGAGCAATGCCTTCATTTTATTGGACCAAATTACACTATGCTCAATTGCTACAAAACTATTCAGTGTTTCCTCAATTTGATGATCTCCTCTCAAAATATGAGTATAAAATATTCTTTAACAAACACACAATATTCATGTACTATACAGATAAATATATATAGATTAAACATTCCCAGAGGCATTAAAAATCAGAATCCATGTTAGCTCCCTACACAATATTCCTGAATATTTTTCAATTGGACTTGCTTCACTACAGAAAAAAAAATCTATGGTAAAAATTCATTGACATCCTGTATGAACTAAAAATTAAGCAGTATCAGCAAATAAAATGGCTTGCTTAATGTGTGTTTCATTGCAACTCAATATAGTCTTTAAATTATACTCAAATATTAAAAATGCAATGGAAATCAATTAAAAGTACATTTCTTATCTGTTCACCTGTAGAATCATACTGATTCATCTAGGAAAAACAAATGCATCTTTATAATTTAATTTTGGTTAACTAATATAATACAACCAGGCTCGTTAAAATACATAAAATTATTTCTCAGCTAATTATTTCTTGGATTTCCCTGCTCCCATGCCTGGGAAAACTACAACTTGTATAATATACAATCTGGCTTCACAAGAACCTAAAGAGATGGTTTTGCCAATGGGCATAGTGACAGTGAATGTGATGCAGCCAATACAATGGCTAC